AGCATGAGGAGTTGCTTAGCCTTGTAGAGACAGGCAATGTGGGCACCACAGCCCTCCCCTGGCCCTGCGTTAACTCTACCCTGTGGATCCAGCTGGGTCTCTCTGGTCCCCAGCCTATCCCTGTCTGTCAGGAAGGATGCACCCTGCCTTGTTGGACTGATAGGAAACCCCATGAGCTCAGGCCTAAAGAGCCCCACCCTTTGTCCGCATGTGGTGGTAGGGATTAGAGATAGGAGTCTGGACTGCTGTGGTCGCTTTTGTTGAGGCTTGGAATTTGGAAAGGAATCGTCTTTCCTGGTGGTCCTCGCGATGTGGCATATCGGTGTCTTTTCCCGAGCAGCACCGCCTTGCATCACTCGAGTGTTTCCATCTTGCTTGACTTACTGGAAGGAGCCATGAATGAACATCCTGCCAAAAAAGATCAAGTTCATCGGGGGTTTTGATGCTGAAGTCCCTGAAAAGTGGCAAGTGTTTCTTTTTCCTTGTCTTGTCTGTAGTGGCAGCTTCTGTTGCTCATACCTGGGGGCCCTGCTGCATATGCTTGGGGGATGTGAGGACAGACGAGGATGGAAGAAAAGGGGAACACTAGACAGTTTATCATGATGCAAAGATATTTTCTTTTGGTAAAAAGTGAAATGGGAGCCCTTATAAACCCTGAGCAGCCCAAAGTTGGAAAGAATAATGTTATGATTATGAAAGTGTTATAGATATGATTCTTTCCCCCCCAGTTTGGCCTGATCAGAGATTCTATGTGCTAGAATTTCATGTATCACCTGTTAATGCCATTATGTTATTAATAATTATAAATTAAAGAGTAGCCGACGTAGTAGGTTCTTATTTGCAGACACTGCGAAGCACTTTATATCTGTTATTTCATTTAATGATCTCAAGAACCCTATGGGTAATTACTATTGCTATTTGAAAGTGAGGGAAACAGGCTGAGGGGTGAAATAACTCATCTGAACTCCACTGAGGCAGAGCAGGGAGGCCAACGGCAGGGGCTCTGGAATCAGACAGACCCTGGTTTTACCCTAAGAATTACCACTTCTGGCCGGGCGCAGGGCTCACACTTGTAATCCCAGCACTTTGGGAGCCCAAGGTGGGCAGATAATGAGGTCAGGAGTTCAAGACCAGCCTGTCCAATATGGTGAAACCCCATCTTTGCTAGAAAATGCAAAAATTAGCTGGGCATGGTGGTGCACACCTGTAGTCCCAGCTACTCAGGAGGCTGAGGCAGGAGAATGGCTTGAACCTGGGAGGCGGAGGTTGCAGTGAGCCGAGATTGCACCACTGCACTCCAGCCTGGGTGACAGAGTGAGTCTCCATCTCAAAAAAAAAAATACCACTTCCTGGGTGCCAGGTACTCCTGCCTGGGACAGATAAGCAGGGAGGTTGAATGTGTTGTAATGATGATGGGAATGGTGATGGAGAGGTGATAAAGGGCAAAGGCCCTGGAGCTAGCCTCCTGAGTTCAAATCGCTGAAGCACTGCTTAGCAGCTGGGTGACCTTGGGAAGCTGCCTCAGTTTCCTGATCTGTGCAATAGGATAGCAGCTGTACTTGCTCAGGGGTTGTTGTGAGGATTAAGTGGCTAATCCACGTAAAGGGCCTACAGGGTCTCTCCGTATGTGTTGGTGGTGATTATTGTCATCTGCGTGTTCTCCAAGGTCCACACTTTGCTATCCAGAAGGATCTATGGGTTAGTGTGGTGAAGCTGGCATATGATGGATGTCCAGTAGGTATTCACTGGATTAGAGAATGCAATTTACCAGGTGACCTAGAGGCCTTGGGCAATAATTAATCTTCTCTTAAAAGGATCCTCCCCACAACTTCCTGTCTGAGACTGACCTGCAGGTGGGAGCCTGCCTCTCATCCACAGTGGCCAGCACACCTTCCTTGGGTCTGCTTGGCAGGAGGGTCACAGTCCTGGTGTATCCCGGTGGCTGCTGGAGGCACAGGCTTCTTGAGAGGCCGGTGACGGCAGACCCCAGCTCTCCAGGCTGTGAGGAGGGGGATGGTAGGAAAGCTATCCTCTGAATAAGGGGGCTGCTCTGCATGAATGTGCAAGCCATGGGGCTGGAGCCCTCCCCCTAGCCTCATGGGAAGGGGCTTGTAGAGAGCCCAGCCAGCCCACGCAGGAGGCTGCAGGGCCTGTCAAGGTTAACAGATAGACCTTGGCTCTCCCCTAGGAAGTAATTCAACTTCTCCCCTGACTTAGGCCACATTGTTTCAAAGCATGTGGTATAAACTACTGACCACTGGGGAATTGCTTGAATTAACAAACTCATTTTTCCCGAGACCTGAGGTTGAACTTGACTGAGGAGTTCAGGGCTCTTTTGTAGAAATCCAATAGATCAGGAGAACTCATGTTACACCATGTTTTCAACCTTGATCAAATGCACATTTTGCATGGTGTGGCCTCCTCCACGCCTGCACTCTTCCAGCTGCACCGGATTGCTTGGAATTGTGGCAAACCAGGCCGGTAGCTGGCACTGGAGCCTGAGCTTTGGGAGAGCCGGCCTCTTGCCTGGGTTAGAAGGAGCTTCAGAACGACTCCTCCCTCCTCCTCTCCCTCTTCTTCTCTACTCCTGCTCCTCCCGTACCCACCTTTGGAGTGCCTTATACTAAGAAAGAAGGGGTATGAAAGGCTAGCTTGAACCACGTTGGTTCCCCCTCCCCCTCCTCCTCCTCCTATTTTCCCCTCCTCCCTCCACTCACTGTCCTCCATGTCTTGCTTCTGGCTATGAATACCTTCTGAGCCTGACTCCACTCTGCTGGGACACCCTCCATAGGACCTACCAGAGATCCAAAAGAACAACAGCAAGCCAGCCCCTCTCCCACTTCCAGCCCCATCCACATAGCCTACAGCCAAGCCTAGCCTAGAGCAGAGATCAGTGGAAGCCAGGGACAGTTCCATACCTTAGAGGACACAGGCCTCTCTCCCGCAGGCCAGGAGCTCCCCAAAAGGGTTCCACATGTGATATAGGTTGAAAACCACAGGGGACAGTGGATATCCAGGGCATGAGGAAGCCGGGACTCACGTAAGGAGGGTAGGTTTCCTGGAGTAGGCTGGAGGCATTTGGAAGCCCACAGGAGAAGAAAGCAGGTTTTGACAGACTGATAGAACTGGAAAACAACAGTGCTCCCCACACTCTGTCCTCTGCCATCTACACACTGGGGATTCTGTTTTGGTGAGGCAGGCAAGGGGGTATGTGGCCTAAATGAATGGATCCTAATCCTGCCTAGCATCCTGAGCACCTGGGGAGCTGGTAAACCTGTGCATGCCCAGCCCCACTCCAATCCATTGCCCTTGGATGGGGTCTAGTTGTCTGCTGTTAGAAGTTTCCCAGAGGGTTAGGATGCTGGGCCATGCTCCAGAAAGCCCTCCCTACTGCACGGGTTGGTCGTCTTTCACCTGTCTCCTTTCCTGCAGAGGCTCTTTGTGGTTCAAAGACCTCAGTCAATGGAGAGACATTTGATGGACTCTCCCTGGCTTTCAGTGCCCCTGTGGCACGCAGTTCAGCTCAGGCCATGGGAGGCGAGTTCTGGATCACAGTGCCTCTGGGTCCCAGGGGCAGGAGATGGGGGCTCAGCCACTCCCTATGCCAACCTCTCTCCAGCTCATGGTGGATGGCTCTCACCGTCTCCTCTGCATGAGTTTCTTTACTCTTTTCAAACTTGAAAGAACCAGAGGCTGCCAGCTTTTGGAAGCATCATGATGTTTTGGCTTTATCTGTTGCTGCACCGCAGTTCTCCTGGAATTTCCTCACTCAATCAGAGAATCCAATTGGCCCAACTCATAGGTCCATGATAGCCTGTAGATTGGTGCCATGGGTACCAGATGGGAGAGCAAACATACAGAACATGGTTGTCAGTGGGCCAGGGGTGGGGCAGGCAGGTGGTGGCCATGATCAAGACAGACCTTTGTTGAGGATCTGAGAAGCTGAAGCCTGGCAGAGGCATCTCCATCAGGGAGAGCAGACAGATAGTCATGGTTTCCATGTGCAGGCAGGGAAACAGAGCTAGAAGACTTGGGGTTTCACAAGCTAGAGTCCTCATTTCCGTTTCAAGCATGAGGTCAGAGACTATGTGGGTGCAGAGGGGGCTCTTGGACCTTCTCACGGCCATAGATACAGTTCCTTCTTTGTGTATCCTAGAGCTTAGGGTCCTGGGAGAGGAATGGCAGGATTGGGAATTACTTGGCTGTCTTGGTCTTGTTTTAAGGAATTTCATTACGATTTCTTAATCTGAGCACCCCTGTGAAGCTTCAGGGGCTTACGAATCATTTGACATTGGGTAAGAAGTATTGTGCTGTGTGAACTTTTCTGGGGAGAGGGGTCCATGCCTCTTTTAGCTTCTTCCAGGGGCCCCTGGCCCCCGGCATGTGAAAATGCACTGCTTCCTGGAACATTTGAGTTGCGCTAGTTCCTTGTGTCCTCAACCAATGAGATCTGCGGAGTAAATGGCCTTGCTTGGTTTCATCAAAGGAATGTGGAAGTGTCTTCAGAGTCTTTGTCCTCCCTGGTCACTTTCCTGGTGGCTGCTGTTGCCATAGGCAAGCTCTGGCTGAGTTTATCATCAGAAAAGGTGTGCAAGACAAGTACACAGGGACTGTGTTTTATGCATGTGCCAAGAGAAGAGTTTCTTGTCTTCACCTTTTCTGGCGTTGGTATTTGGCTTAGAAGAGCACAGAAACTTGGGCCTGGAAGTGTTTCTGTCTTCCTCTCCCGGTGCTTCTTCCACAAGAGTACTCCTGGGGCCAAGGGAGCCACGAGAGCCTCCTGGGGTGTGTGACTGCAGGGTAAAGAACCTCTTTTAGTTTCGTGGCCCTTGGAGGCAGGGGGAGGTGGAATGACTCAAGCTGGCATAGGCTCATATCCAGAATACTCCCCCTGTGGCTTCCTGCCTAGGTCAAGGCCAAGCTCCCTGGGCTTTAAGGGGCTGTCTTAAGAGATCAGACCCAGCAGTGAATGCCTGCTTCACCCTCTCCTGAGCAGCTGTCATAGAAGGTATTAGTTATGTGCCAAAAAAGGTTCTGACGGAGACACGCCAATGGCCTTGGTTGGAATGCCGGAAAACATTCATCCCGGTGGCGGCTGTGGTGCTGACAGTGGGTACCGTCACCCTCCTGCAGTCTGTGCTTCACGTGGACATGTGTGCACTATTTATGTGGCTAATAGGCTTCCTTACTGAGGGCAACGTTTACATGCCATAAAAAGTCCATTAGCTGAATTTAAGCTTCTCCAGAGATCATGGGGCCTAATCTGTACTTGGCATTTGACGTGGAGGGAATTGAAAATCCCAAGGACCCTTTCTGCTGGGCCATTGCTGGGATTGAAGAGAGAGCTTCGCTGAACGCGTGAGTAGGTGAATGGATGTATTAGGTGAGTGAGTGAGAGAGTGATATCATTGGGGCCAACTGCTTGTCTCACAAGGCTGTGAATAGAAGTGAGGCTATTTTTGGATGTGTATTCAGTAAACAGCCTTTTATTTTTAATGCCAAGTGGCACAAAGTTAGCCATGGTAACAGGACAGTTTTGTTATTTTTGAAGATTAAAGTGTTTAAAAATACCATTCCCTGTTTTTAAATCAATGGTTCGAAAGCGATTTTGTTTTCACTCTTCAGCTAAAGGCTTTGTCAGGCTAAGAAGCAGTATCAGTTGATCTTTTCCCAGTTGTACATCCTACGGCTGGGTTTAAGATGATCTCTGCACTCGGGCAGGGTCCTTTGGCCCATCTGAAAGTGGGCTAGTTCTGCTGGCTCCTCTCCTTCCTGGGAAGGTCACCCAAGTCCCTGTGCTAAGGCAGACAGAAGGTTTGTTCAAGTTAAAGTCTCTACAGCATGCTTGGGCCGAGCAGGGCTTATGTTGGGTCTGTAGACCTTCCAGGCCTGACTTGAGGACCCTCCTGTCCAGCAAACAGCACAGCATGAGACGCTGGGGAGCCATGAAATGACAGCCTAAATTCTGAGAGGCAGAGGAGTGCTGTGGGAAAGAAACCAGAAGCCTTTAGAACCAGTGGACCCAGTGCTTGAGTCCTGGCTCTGCCACTCAGTAGCTGCATGAGCCTGGTCAAGCACCATGACTCTCCCGAGCCTCAGTTTACTCACCTGTCAGATGGGGATGATGATATCCATACTGCATGGGTTGTTCTGAGTGCTTCATGATGATAATGAGCTTTAAGTGCCACATACAGCTTAGACACATGAGACAAGATCCTCACAGTCTGACTCTGGATCTTGCACTACCACTCACATGACCCTGAAGCTCAGAGAGATGGAGTGACTTGCTCAGTTTCCTGAATACGTGGGCATGCCTTCCCTTCCCTCCTAGTCACATCCCGCATCGCAAGCGGTGGATGAGCCTGTCCGTGGTGATGATGCATTGTGTGATCAGTCCTCTCCTCTTGCCAGCCAGGCCAGCAGCAGAGGGAACATGGGCCCATGGGCCATGGGCACTGACCAGCTCCTGTCTGCACACTGGGGATGCAGTGATTTCAAGACCGTCTCCCTCTCCTCAGGTTTGGGGACTTTGGAGTAGAAGGGATGTAGAGAGCATTTCCTTGCCATGGCAGCCCCAGGGGTCTGCCCAGGCTCCTCATCACTGGCAGGCCTCAGGACTAGCCAGGCTGTGGTGTTCGGCCTGGCCCTGAACTCCACTGGTGTCCTGCTTGTCATGCACAGCCCCGTCAGGGCCAGCTCCCTGGGCTGAGGGGCTGCCCTGTGCTCCTCTGAGTCCCCAGCGAGCGCACCGAATTATGTAATGCTGCTGAGCCAACATTTACGCGTCGCAGCCAATTTGCCGGCCTAGAGTTACACTGTGCAGATGCTCTGCCTTACGGCCTGCTTTTGTCTCGGAGGCCGTAAGCAGATAGCATAACCCTGCTTACCATTAGACGTTTCGCAAATCATGTAGGCTTGAGCGTGCTGCAGCCAGACAGTTCATTTATGCTGCGAAGGGTATGATTTGTAAAGTAATAAATTTCCTATCTTTCTGCCAGCAATAAAGTACAGCAAGCAGGCAAGGCCAAAGCCCTCCAAAAATATACTGGCTCCCAGCGAGACCTGGAAGAGAGCTCTTTCTGGTTCTGCTTCTCTCTGTTCTTGAATTTGTTGGATTCTGGAAAGTCAGGTTTGGGCCATAAATCCCTCTACCATCTGGGTGACCCTGGCCCCCGGCACAGATGTGTTGCTTGCATGGGTAATTGGCTCCTACCATGACACAGTTGCCACTTCCGGGTCCCTGTCAGTTCTGGCATTAGAAGAAGGCCTTGCTGGACATCATTCAGACTGGGATGGAAAGTTGTTGACTCTCTCACCCCTCTTTGTGGTGATGTGTCTGTTCTTGGGACCCAGGCAAGGCTCTTTCTCCTGTGCAGTTAGTGGCCTACAGTGATGGGTGTGTGTGCTGGTGGGAGCTCCCCTCGGTGTCCTGTGATGGCCTCCAAGGGCAAGTGCTTGGTCAGCCCCAATGGGATCCCTGTTGTGAAGGTGGCTGCTCTGAGCAGCAGGTCAAGGAGGAGCTCAGAATGAGCCTTGGGAGTCTGGATTTCAGTTTCTTTGTTGGAGGAGGCTTGGTGGATGGAGGGCACCTGTGACCAGCAAATGCTTCCTTAGAAGCAAGAGTTGTCAAGGAGCCCCTGGAATTTCAGCTCAAAGTGGCAGCTGTGTTCTGCGACCCTGATGGGCAAAGAGGTGACTTGAAGTCCCCGGTTTTGACCAGGCCCTTTCTTCTCGCCGCCTCCTTCTGTTTAGAGGGGACTGGCTCTGACCTCTGTCTCAGATGAGGGTGAGGACTTGCACAGCTCCCACTTTCTGCTGGTGGGAGCTGCCATTGTTTCCTCTGTGGGGAAGATGGGTCTGAAAATGGTAAAAGCCTCACCCTTAGCTCTGATGGCTTCCTCTGGCCCTCTCCTTCTCAATCTTCATATTCTCTCTTCTTTCCTCTTCCTTCTCCTCCTTTTCCAAATCTGCCTCCACTTCTTCCACCTTTGGTATTTGCTAAAGTTTTGTCCCACTTAAAAATTATGTAATGTTTAGGGACTAGATAGAAGTAGGAAAAGGAAATTATAGTGAAATGGCTCAAACAGTCACTGTGACCGTTCTGTTGTTTCTGGGTTTTCCATCTGGGCTGTGGGGGCCCCAGAAAGGGGCATACCCCTTCACTTAGGGCAGCTCTGACATCACCTGTGGACACAGGGCCTTTTCTAGAGTTCTTTGTCCTAAGGCGGGTGGGTAGATAGAGTCTCCTCCCTGCTGTCGTGAGGAGAGTCTGCTTTTTATAAAGTTACTCCCCAGCATCAGAATCCAGCCCCAGAGGTGCGAAGGAAGGAAGGCAGAGCCCCAGGAATGCCCCTGCCCTGACTTAGTCCCCACGGCCTCTTTTCGGCTGTCTACACCCCGGCTCCTCCACCTGGCAGCCTCACCCTTCATCTCGTCCAGGTCTTGGCTCAGGCCCCTCGCTCAGCTCAAGCATTTGCTGCGTGTTGATCTCAGTTCGCTCGGGGGTGTGGGGGAGTTGATAGTTCCTGCCCAATAGGATTGTGAGGATTAAAGGAGATCTGACAGCAGGTTTCAGCAAACGTTGGCCAATAATGCAGGTTCAATGTATGTACTGGGCACAGGGCCACCCTGTTGCTCAATCCAAGGGTGCCCACACATGTCAGCCTATGTGACCTTCCCTGACCCTATGAGGCAGGGCACAGCCTTTGCCCTATGTGGCAGCCCTGAAAGAGATATTTCTAGGCCTGGGACTGGAAAATGAGGGTCCAGGAGAGAAGTTTTTTGGAGAGGCAGTGGAGTCCGGTGTAGTGGTTAAAGTGGAAGACTCAATTCTTTTGCTCTGGGAGAGTGAGCAGGAATGGCAGGGGATGGTGACACAGGGAGGACGGTGACACAGGCCACAGGGAGGAAGCTGCTGATTGCAGTCTTTAGCTCTTTGGAGAAAGATGAGGGCCAGAAGCTGACAGTGGTCAAGACCTGTTGACCAAAAGACCACAGGAGAAAGGCTGCAGAGAAAGAAAAGTTGCCATGGGTTACCAGGAAGGAAGACCTGGAACTGGTGCTGGGAGCAGGTGTCTCAGGAAGGAGATCCTGGGCCGAACTGCCCTCTCCTGCCACAGCTGCAAGGGTGCCCAGAGTTCAGGTCTGGGTGTAATAGGAAGGGCAGGTTGGGACTGGCAGAGGATTCCCTAAGCTCTGTAGGACATCATGGGTCATTCTTCCCTCTCCAGTGAAAGGGCAAATGATTGTTGAGCAGGTACCATGAGCTAGGCACTGTGTGAGAGGCTTGATGTGTGTTAGTTCATTTGATCCTTAGGACAGCCCTGAGAGCAGGCATTAGAATGGGGAAACTGAGGCTCAGAGATGTTACATGAATTGCCCAAGTTTTCCTAGCTAGGAAGGAAATAGAAATAGGATTCCAATCACTTCAAACACTTCCCTGTAGACTGTAGAGACTGGCTAGCTCTGCTGTCTGCTGGCTCCTCTGCTGTGTTTGTCAAGGTGCCTGGCACACAGTAGGACTGAGTGCGTGTGTGGTTGAGCCCAGGTCTGTGTGTTTCTGAGCCCATGCAAGGTCCTGATGGTCCCCCTGAGCAATTCTTTCTGCCTGGTGGCAGCCCCCTTGCCTTGCCTGGAAAGTACCACTTGTTGGTGGGGGGCAGTCTCGGGTTGACAACACCCTGCCGCCAGCTTGCTAGCCCCTTTAGGCCCCGGAGAAACTATTGAGTCATGCATTTTGCTTGGGTTTTGATGATTCGTGATTCATGCTTGTGAGGAAGGCAAGGGAGTGACTCATGCTGATTTAATAAGCTTAGGAATATTCCTGAGAAGTGGCTGATAAAGTGCCGGCTGGCAGCCCACTCCCCTGTGGCTGCCAGCCAAGTGCTCAGAAATCACCAGGCTAAACAAGTCTGCAGAAAATTCAATCTTCCCGGCATGATTTTCCTTATTTGAGCTAATAGCATGAGACGCCTTTCTCCTGGCGCTATGAAGTTCCCCCGGGGGCCGTGCCGTCTTCCCTGGGGTTGTAGGGGAGAAGAAGAGCAAATGCCTTACATTTAGCAGATGCGCTAGGAACTGCTAGGACCTCCAGGGTTTACCTTGTGCCCTTGGAACCAGCAGCTCCACCCCAAGGGAAGCCAGCTCTGTGTCCTAGTGCCGGAATAATGGGGTAATGTGAGCGAGCTGCCCCTTCTCCACAGGGTACTGAGAACAAGGCCAGACAGCAGCTGTCGTGGCCTCTCCACCGTGTCAGAACTAACACGGCTGGGTTGGGCCCACTGGGGTCAGTTTACTCACGGTAAACAAGTGCAGGTGGAGTGTGGTGGCTCAGAGGAGCAGGCCACCATGTTGAACCCCTTGTGGTATGTGAAGCTCAGTGCT